TATCCTCTTTAATTTCTTTTATGTTACCGATGTTAAGCAGAGGAGTGACATGATCTGATTTATACTTTAGGAAGATTACTCAGTAATGAGGAAAAATGATTGAGGGGCAAGAGATGCTACATGAACAAGGACAATAGCAGCAGGGACAAAGAGGAAGGCACCTGTTACAGAAATATTCATGAACTAAATCAGCAGGACCGAATGATTGACTTTATGTAGAAAGAGAGGGAAAAGTAAAGAGTGACTGCCAGGTTTTTGGCTTGGGTACATCATGAGGCCACGAACTGAGACAGAAAATACACAAGAAGCAGTTTGGGGGAAGAGAAGAAATGATCAGTGGGTCTGTACGTGTTGAGCTTGAGATGACTGGGACACCCAGGTGGAGAGGTGAGGTAATTAGATATTTGAGCCTGATGCTCAGGAGAGTTGTCTAGTCTGGGGACAGTGATTTGAGAATCATCATATAAAAGGGGAACCGTGAGACTGCATGAACCAACCAATGGGAACAATAGGGGAAGTAGAGAGGATGCAAAGGAATACCAATATTTAAAGGTTGAGCTGATGACAAAAAGTCCACAAAGGAGACTCAGAAGGAACAACCAGAGAGGCAGGAAGATAACCAGGAAAGAGGTGGTCTTTAGGAGTGCAGGGGGAGTGGCGAGTAATAATAAGCTATGAACTGGGATGCTTCCGTTGGATTCAGCAGAGTTAGAAGTCACTGGTGACCTAGACAAGGGCTCTTCCTGTGGGGGGCTGAACCACACTGCTGTGGATTGAGGAGGAGGTAGGAGTTGAGAAGATGGAGACAGCAAGTAAACAGAATCCATTCCAGAAGTTTGGAGGGGAAGGGAAAGGAAGCGGTAACTAGAACTATAAAGTAAGTTGAGGGAAGGTGTGTTTTTGTAGGATAGAAGAGACTTGGGTATGCTTACAGGCTGATGGGGAGGACTTAGCAGAAAGGGGGAGGATAAGGGATGGAGTGGGGTCCAAGTGGAGCTGGAGGAGCCACTGGGAGAAGGAGTAAGGAGGTGAGAGGATTTAGAATAGTGCTTTTCAAATTTCAATGTGCATACAAATCACATGTCTCAAATCTCCCTTCTTCTCTCCATCTCCACAGCCACCATCCTGGTCCAAGTCCAAGAACCCTATACTTCTCATCTCTCCCTGGACAGCTGAGCTGGCCTTCAGATCTTCCACCTTGTGGTGTAGGCTTGGTGGTGGAGAGGCCAGGAGGGGCCTAGCTGAATGGAAGAAAATAGAACAGGCCAGTGGCCTCTGTGAAGTGAGAGGATGAGGCAGTGGGAGTCAGAAGATGGGCATGCTGTAGGAGAGGGCTTTGTGGGATGCCTGAGGTTGGGATTTCAGAGGGGACCATTCAAGGCATGGCCCTGGAGAGAATGGCTAGGGTCATGAGGAAGGTCACTGAGGAGCTCAAGGAAGGGTATTGGAGGGTCCTTCACATGGATGAGCAGGACATTAGGACAGATCACCTGACCAAGATCTGGAAACCCAAGTGCTTGACGGATGGAGACAGGGGAGAGCAGGGGCAGCAGATCAAGTGATGAGAAAGGGGTGGCAGAGTAGAGCCAAGTGACAGGAGTCTCAGAGGAGAAGGAGAAAATGACATATGCACATAGGAAAAATCCTCCAAAATGTGAATGGTGGTTGTCCGTGGGGTAGGGAGGATTATGGGTAGTTGTGATTCTTTCTCTATATTTTCCTATTTTTCCCCTAAGTTTTCTACAAGGAGTTTTTTTTTTTTTTGGTAATATAAAAGAAAAAAATACAAAGAATGATAAACAGCCCATTCACACCATCTAGCATTCGTCGTTGTAAACATGCTACAGTCCTCTTTAATCACCTCCTCTTCTCAGACAAGCGTGACCAGCTGGCTTTTCATTTTATGTTCATGTACATACACACCTAAGATAGAATATGGCAGGGTTTGTGTGCAATAATTTTATTTACCTGGAGGAACTGTTCTTATAATTAGGAAAAAACAAAAATCTTTTTTAAGGTGAGGAGGGGTTGCACAGGGACTGGAAGCCTGAAGCCCCCTCCCCAGCTGAGCAGCCCAGCAGGGAGGCCACCCTGGGAAGACCCAGCCTCCAGGTTAAGTGCACCAGGCCACACCTGGTGGTTAAATGTTCCAGGAAGAGAGGATTACGCCTTATATTTCTCTGGCTAGGTTTCAGCCCACTCCCATATCTCTCAAGTCATTTATGCCTCAGAAATCTGGGAAGCAGGGAAGGCAATCATTATCCCCATTTGACAGATGGGGAAACTGAAGCCCAGGGAAAGGCAGTGAGCTGCCAGGGTGTCACAGTGAGTTGGTGGAGGACAAGGGACTAGAGCTCTGGCCTGCAGTTCTTCCCAGAACTTCAGGCCAGTGTACAGAGGGGTGGGGCAGAGGCAAGGGACACCATGTGGCTGGGACTAATGGACTTTGGCCTCTTGGCAATAAGGAAGAGAATTGGCAGTAACTTCAGGCAGCTAAAGCTAGGCCACTGCCAGGAAAGTGTGTCTGGGGAGAAACAGGTGGGACTGTTCCTCCTCAGAGGCCCCAGAGAGCAGGCCCACGCCCTGGGGGCTATGGCTCCCCCTATTCCTCCCCCCCAACACACACACACACACACACACACACGCACTCAGAAGTTAGGAGCAGCCTTCACAGTTAGACAGGCCTGGATCCAAGTCTCAACTCTACCATTGATTCATGCTGTGTGATGTTCGAAAAGCCTTTACCTTTCTGGGCCTCAATTTTCTCATCTGTAAAATGAGGTAATAATCTTTAACTCTCAGTATTGTTCCAAGGAGAAAAAGAGAGAATCCTCATCTTTGCATCTGAAAGCAGAGACATTTGAAAGGTCTGGTCCCCAACCTAATTCCAGAAGGTCCCAGATGGGCTCGGTGTTGAGGAGACTGCCTGACACCAACTGGTAGAGAGGTCGCATGCACGCACGCGAGATTTGACATCAGCTTTGCAGTGACCACAGGTGCTCACCAGGGCAGCCCTTGGGAGGTGGCCTTTGTCATCAGAAAGTTGTTGGTGGGGGCCGGCCCCGTGGTATAGCAGTTAAGTGAGAGCACTCCGCTGCTGGCGGCCCAGGTTTGGATCCCAGGTGCGCACCGAGGCACCGCTTGTCAGGCCATGCTGTGGCGGCATCCCATACAAAGTGAAGTAAGGTGGGCACAGGTGTTAGCCCAGGGCCAGTCTTCTTCAGCAAAATAGAGGAGGATTGGCATGGGTGTTAGCTCAGGGCTGATCTTCCTCACAAAAAAAAAAGAGAAAGTAGTTGGTGGAGTGGGGGCAGGGTGGTAGTGATGGGGCCTTTCCTTCCTTCCTTCCTTTCTTCCTTCCTTCTTTCCTTTCAACAAAAGCAAGACATAAATGAATGCTTATTGTAAGAGTCCAACAATGCAGCCATGTGCAAAACAAAAAGCCAAGTCCTTCCCCTTGCTCTCCTCCAGGCCCCCTCCTCTCTTGGCTTTCACTTCGGTGCTATCTTGCTCTTAGGAACAACTTGTCCATAAACATCATGAAACGCATGCGTATCTTTGCACTCTTTGGTCTGTAGGATAAAGACCTAGAAATGGAATTGCTGGGTCACAAACGCAGTCTGACCATTTACCATAGGAATGTGTACTGCCCAGTTACTAAAAGACTGTCCTCATGGACAACAACCTTTGAATGCCAGCCTGGGAGGGCACCAGCCCCATGGCTTAATGAACTGTCCCCATCTTCCCTTCCACCTTGCAAGCCTTTCTCTCCACCCTACACCCGCTGTGCACTGTCCCCCTTCAGACAACAGATGACAGGGAAGCACGTCTGCCAAGGGTTTACCAGACAGGCCTGCCTGACTGTGGTGGTCTGCGGATGCCCTGGGGGCTTCCTAGGTGTGGTTCCCTAGGGCTCTGCTCCCTCCTTTGGTGCTACTGTGCTCTCCAAACTCCAGGGGCTCTGTGTGCTGACCCAGGCGCCCGACTCACAAGGCACACAGTAGGCACTGGAACAGGTGTGCAGAAAGGCACGCATTCGCCAGACATCTGGTGTCGGATGCATCTAGCCAGCCCCTGCCCTCAAGGCCACCGACCGGTGCCATGAGGGGTGCAGACTGTGAATAGATGCTGTCCAGATACCACGTAAGCGCCTCCCAGAGGCCTGCTCTGAGGGCCCAGAGAGCCCAGGGAGGCAGACACAGCATGGCCACATGGGAGAACATGTCACAGAGGGCTGGGTGGGAATCTAGTCTCCAGCTGACTCCACCACTTCTGGCTGGGCCCTCTTGGGTGAGGGCACTTCTGGGCGCTGGGGATGAAACAAGGCAGGGCATGGGTCCATCCTGGTACATTAAAAGGGCTCAGTAACCAAAAGCCAGGGTTAGTAAAGCTCCTACTACGTGCTCCTGCTAGGTCTGCCTTTGTAAAGATACTCTAGAGTTTTCAAAGCATTTTCTTATCTCATTTTTGTATCTCATTTTGTCTCACCACCTTAGGGGACAGGAATTATGATTCCTGATTTTCCAATGAGGGAACAGAGACCCCCCCAAGACGGAGAAGTAAAGCGCCTTGCTCAGCGTGGCAGACGGAAGAATCCCAGGCCAGGGCAGAGAGAGACAGCGATTTGCCTGAGGCGACCCACTGCTGCCCCTCCCCTCCTCTAGGAAGAAGTGGATTCTCAACCTTCACCCTGGGGGCTTTCCCGTCCAGGTGCCCACCAGGTCACGGTAACCGCAGCTCACACGCGTGTGGCCCGCAACTCACTCCCTAGGCCGGACGACAGCGGCTCCTCTGAGTTTCCATCTGTAAAATGGGCATAACTGGAGTGGAGGTGGGCCACGAGAGTGTGTGTCGGGGGTGGGGGGCGGGGGTGCAGGCGCCAGCCGGGATGCGAGGCGGGCGCAGGTGGGTGGGGCCAGCGCCGTGACTCGACCGGGCAGGCCAGGCAGGGTTGCCCAGCCGGTCAGACAGGCCCGGGATGCAAACGAGCCGCCAGGGCCCTCCCGGGGCTGGGTCGCCTGCGGGGTGACGGGAAGGGAGGCGGACCGGGCGCAGGGATCCCGGGGCTCGAGGCGGGAAGTGGGCGCGGCGCGGGCTGTACCGGGCGCGCGGCGGCTGCGGACGAGGATGGGAGCGGGGCCCCCCGGCCTCCCACAGCCTCTGGAGCCCCGCTGAAACCGGCCGCGGAGACCCCGCGCGGGAGCCGAGATGTGTCTGCGCTTTGGTGAGCGGCGGGGGGCGGCCCGAACCCGCCCCAAATCCTCCTGCAGGGGGCGGAGCACTGTAGTGGGAGCCCGGGGTCCAGGCCGCCTGCTCTGCAGGTCATTTTCCGCTCTCGGCCTCAGTTTCCCCAGCAGTGAGATGGAGGGAGGAGGGCTGCTGGTATCTTCTCGATGTGGGGTAGCACCTTTGCCTCTCGCCCCCACTTACCTTTCTTGCGGAGGAGGGACCCGCCCAGGTGGGAGAAGAGACGCTGGAGAGAGCAGCCCCCACATCGCCCAGAAGGAAGAGCAGAGGGAGGGGGATCCAGGGCCCAGGGAGTTCTGAGCCTGAGGCTGCCTGCCCTTAGGCTTCCTCAGCCTTGCAAGGGGCTCCCACTTCCGTACCCTCCTCTCCCCCAGCCAGGCAAGGAGGGAAGGGCCATTGGCAAACAGGATCCGGACGGGAGTGAGACGGATCTGTCGCCTCCCCTCACTCCCTGGGCACAGGGATGCTGCTCTTGGGCATCAGACAGACCTGAGGAGTCCCCACTCTCTAGCCAAGAGACCTTGTGAGCCTCAGTTTCCTCGTCTGTAAAATGGGGATGGTAGCTCCACCTCCTAGGACTACCCTGAGGGTGGAGTTAGCTCCTAAGAGTAAAGAGCTGACCACTCTGCCAGCCACACTGCTAAGTGCTCCAAGAATGGTAACTTAGAAACAAAGGAGACTGTGCAGTGTCCAGGCACAGCCCCGCGCTGGCACTGTGCCTCCAGTTTGACCAAGTCTTGGTCCTGGGATGCTGTTGTTGTTACTGAGCCCAGCCCTGAGCCAGGTGGTGTCTGGGCTGCCAGGTAGGTGGGTGGATGGGGTGAAGTGGGTCAGGCCCCTGGGACGAAGCTGCCTGCCCCTTCCTGTTTGGCTGGCAGTTAATCTGGGTGATGCCACTCCCGTTCCACGGTGCCTGTCCAGCCCATGGTCTGCCCTCTGCTTCTCCTAGACCTGGTCCAGCTCCAGAGGGTTCTGCAGGTTCCAGGGATCTCAGAGAACAGCTAGACCAACCCATCCCGATTTACAAATGGGAAATCTGGGGCCCAGAAAGGGAGGGTCTGGTGCAAGGTCACGCAGAGGGCCTGTGACTGAGTGGCGCCATCCCTCCCTGCCTCCTGGGGACTGCCTCTTGGCACAGAGCCCCCAAGAACATCCAGTCTAGTGATTTCTTTCTTTTTTTTTTAAGCTGCAGAGCTCCCATGTATGAAATATGATCCAATCGTCTCGGCCACAGATGGGGAGACTGAGGTCTAGGAAGGGACTCACAGGTCCCACCAGGAGCAGCTAAACAAACAAGGGAGCTGTTTAGTTCTGGGGGCCCGGCCAGTCTTCCAGTCTCTCAGAGCTGGTCAGAGTAAGGGGGATGGCGGGGTCAGAGGGCCAGCCTGGTGTGTGCCCTCGAGGGCAGAGCCAGAACCCATAGGGGAAATCCAGGGAGCAGATCTGGAACAGCCCGAGCTACCCAAGGAGTGGGCTTCCTGTTCCTGGAGGTGTGCAGAGAGGGGCTGGGCAGCCACTTGGCCATTCAGTGAGAATCTGCTTATGAGTCCCTGGCCTTCTTTTGACCCCAGCCTCCCCCGCTTGCCCCCTCCCTGCCCAGTGCCCCTGCACCGAGAGCTTGCTTTTCCTAGCACGCCCAGCGTATGTCCCACTTTCCCATCCATCTCCTCATGGGACCCTCCTTCCCTGTGGGGAGACAAGGGTTCTTCTTCCCATTTTACAGATGGGGAAATGGAGACTCAGAGGCTTGAGTTTCTTGCCCGGAGTCAGTTCAGCAACTGTGAGTTGGATATCTACCCTGTGCCGGGCCCTATCCACCAAACTGAATCCCGAGCAGGATCTGATCCCTGTCCAATGAACTAGGGGCTCCTTGGGGCCTGGACAGTGACTATCAAGCTCACTGTGGCACCTTGGGGCCTGGCACAGAGCAGGCACTCAGTGACCATGAGTATCAGTGAATGGGGAACTTGGTGGAAGGATCATAGAGCTAGAGACCAGGGTTCAAATCCTGGCCCTGCCACTACTACCCTTTATTAAGTACCACCTGTGTGCTTTTCCAACCTTGGATTCCAAGGACTCTCAGGAAGGCATTGTGAACCCCTTTTCCAGATAAGGAAACTGAGGCTCAGAGAAGACAAGTCACTGGCCCCAAGTCATCCAGAAGTAGACTTAGAATCTAGTGTCCATCACTCCTGCCAGGGCCTCGGTTTTCTCCTCTGCCCCACTCAGGACCCTGACACAGCTGTCCCCGACAGGTGGCCTGAGTGTGGATGACTTCCGGAAGGTGCTGATGAAGACGGGGCTGGTGCTGGTGGTGCTGGGCCATGTGAGCTTCATCGCAGCTGCTCTCCTCCATGGCACAGTGCTGCGCTACGTGGCTGCCCCCCACGACGCTGTGGCTCTGCAGTACTGCGTAGTCAACATCCTCTCTGTCACTTCTGCCATTGTGGTATGGCCTGGCTGGGAGGGTGGCTGGCAGGAGGAAGTGGAGGGGGCCTGAACAATCTTTGCTGAGTCCCACCCAGAGCCTGGAGTGGGCAAACAGAGAGCCATAAGCACTAACCCCCACTCCTCCACTTACCAACTGCCCAAGTCGCTCAACCTCTCTTTGCCTCAGCATCCTCATCTGTAAGATGGGGATGGTAACAGTGTCCACCTCAGAGGGTCCTGGTGAGTATTGAATGAGATCATCCATATGAAGTGCTTAGCACAGTGCCTGGCACATGGTTAGTGCTCACTCCTGAGAGCTAAGATTATTATTACAACAGGGAAATACTCAAGACGGCATTGAACAGAAGGAAGGAGCATCAGCTCAGCTTGGGAGGGTGCACAGAGGTGGAGGCCCCTGAGCTGGGTACTGATGGATGAGTAGGAGTTCAGAGATAGGCTGAAATTACCATCCCCCAGGTATGAGGCATGCTGGGGCTGGCCAGTAGGAAAGGAAGCAGGGATGGCATTGCAAGTACAGAGAGTGCCAGATACAAAGGTGTGGAGGTAGGAAGGGCTAAGATTTGTTCCGGAGACACTGAAAAACACAATTGGGCAGGAGCTTGCATTAGGCCTGGTCTCTAGTAAGTGCTCAATAACGGTGGCCATGGTATGACCAGCTGTCAGACCCTGTCTGATGAATCCATGAATGAAGGGGCCTGGTATTCTCAACTTCACAAAACCCTTGCCACCTGTCAGCAGAGGTGGCTGCAGCCTTTGAGGAACACCCACACATCAGTGTCTGGGTTCTGTCCTTGCCACCTCCTGGCTGAGGGACTTATTTCTCTCTCTAAGCCTGTTCCCTCCCCTGCAAAATGAAGCTCAGACAGCCTGCTGGCCCCGGGGCTTGGGTGAATGAGGCTCATAGGCCCCAGCAGGTAGGAGAGCCTCGCTCGGTGGGACAAGGCTGGGCTGTGCAGATGTGTGCGGGGTCCCTTGGAGGTACTATTATTGCTGTTTGTTCCTCTCTTCAGCTTGTGCAGAAGGCAGGGAAGGCAGTGAGCTCAGGGTTAGGAGGTCCACCAGGGATGGGCTCTGGGCTGGACCACTTCAGCCTTGCCCTCATTTCCTCTGTTAATCCTTACTGCTCCCAGCAACATGGGGCCATTATTATCCCCACTTTCCAGAGGGGGAAACCGAGACTCAGGGATTCACCCAACCTCTTGCTGATACAAAGAAACCACGCTGGATTTGAAACAACTTGTGTCTGACACCAAAGCCAGTGTTCTTTCCGTGAGCTCATCCTGCAGAGCAGGGCTTAGCCCAGAGAGGTTGAGGCACTTACTTGTGGCTGCACAGTGAACTAAAGACACTGTTGGGCCCCGCATCGTCTCACCTGCCTCCCATGGGTCCAGCCCATGCCTGGTGCAGTGAGGGAACTCAAGGAGGAAGCCTGGCTGAATGGAGCCCCAAAGATCCAGAGGGCAGCTGGTAGGCTAAACAGTGGGCCCACCTCTTGGGACTGCGGATGGTTGGGGAGGCCTGCAGGAGGAGGAATCAAGCAGGTAAAGAGGAGCAGGAAGGGTGTTCCTGAGAGGGCACTGTGTGGGTAGCATCATGAGCAGGTATGTGTGGGTGTCCATATCCAGGGCAATGAGGGAAGACACTGGCCGGGGTGGTTGAGAAGCTGATGGGACTGGGGCCAGGTCATAGGAGCCTGGGGTAATTTAAAATACTCCTAGGGATTTTGAATTCTACTCCATAAAGTGTCCTGATTTGTTTTATTTTTTTTTTCAATTTTTTTTTTTTTAAAGATTTTATTTATTTATTTTTCCCCCAAAGCCCCAGTAGATAGTTGTCTGTCATAGCTGCACATCCTTCTAGTTACTGTATGTGGGACGCGGCCTCAGCATGGCCGGAGAAGCGGTGCGTCGGTGCGATCCCAGGATCCGAACCCGGGCCGCCAGCAGCGGAGCGCGCGCACTTAACCGCTAAGCCACGGGGCTGGCCCCCTGATTTGTTTTAAATAACAATTTTGTTTTTAGCTCTTTGCCAGTTCCTTATTTTCTTCCAAAATCTTTTCCACTCCAAGGAGACGTGTTGTATTTATCCTGTGACATGCCCCTGCGGCCCTGGGATGCACAGCCCCCTGTTTGAGATAGACAGCTGTAGGCAGTGGGGAGTCGTGGAAGGTTGTGGGCAGGGAGTGATTGTGTTTTAAAACATCACCTCAGAGCTGGACCATGAGGAGGCAGTGCTTCTGTGCAGATCTGGGTAATGACCCCAAAGCTAAGCAGGGGTAAGGGGTGGGGGTTTGAAGGGCCAGAGTTGGCACTGGTAGAATCTTTACCCAGAGTTGCCTTGACCCCTGCCCACTCTCCTCCAGCAGCGGGTCAGGGCTGACTTGCGCCTCCCCTACAGGTCATCGCCTCGGGCATCGTAGCCATCGTTTTGTCACGTTACCTCTCCAGCATCCCCCTGGTATGTGACACCTCCTGGGATGGGGCTGTAGGGGTAGGGGCAGCAGCACACGCAAGGGCCGGGGCTGCTTGGAGGGGGTGAGGCTGACCCCATGGGGGCCAAGCCTGACATCCACTGACCAGTGGCTTCCCCTGTCCAGCGCTGGACAGTGTTTAGCTCGAGCGTGGCCTGTGCCCTTCTTTCTCTGACCTGTGCTCTTGGCCTCTTGGCCTCTATCGCCGTGACCTTTGCCACCCAGGGCCGGGCACTGCTGGCCACCTGCACCTTTGGGAGCCCCGAAGTCCTGGCGCTGGCACCTGACTGTCCCTATGACCCCACACGCATTTATGTGAGTGCTTAGGCCTGGGATGGTGGGGAGGGGAAAGGGGGGACCCCAAGGTGCTCATCAGGGGTGGGAAGGGTTCTTGGAGTCCTGCCCTCCACCCCCAATCCCAGGTGGCTATCTCTGTCCCCTGTGCCCCCACAGAGCTCCAGCCTGTGCCTCTGGGGCATCTCACTAGTGTTCTGCGTGGCGGAGAGCGTGTTTGCTGTGCGCTGTGCCCAGCTCGCCCACCAGCTGCTGAAATTGAGGCCCTGGTGGGGGAAAAGCAGCCACCACATGGTAAGGCCTACTATCCCCTCCACAGCCCTGACTCCCCATATTTCCTGGGAGCCCCTGCTGGGGAGCCCAGGCTGGGCCGCACCCACCCCTCTGGATGGGGCCCTCACCTTGAGACCTGGGGCAAGTTTTTCTCCCCAGGGCCAAAGGGAGAGGCCTGGAGGCTCAGAGAGGTCAGATCTCCCCGCTAAGTCACACAGCTGACATGTGGCTCTCCCCCTGCCCAGGATGAGTCTTGAGGGAGGGGGAGGAGTATCTGGGCTGGAACTGGGGGCACTCCAAGGGTACAGCTTGGCCGTTGCTTGGGGAGGAGTAGTGATGCCCCTTTGCCCAGCCCTCCCCTCCTCCCGTTCCCTGGGTCTTCTGGAGGAGGAGACCCAGACGCAGACCTAGACCCAGACCCAGCAGGCCTGACAGCCTCCCGTGTCTCCGCAAACACAGGAGAGCCCAGAGCCCGTGGAGGGCCAAGACCTGCTGAGCTGCACCGCCTCGGAGCCGCTGACACTCTGACAGCTGATGCCTCGCCTGGGCCCTCTAGCCACTGGAGCCCTGCAACCAAGTCTGCACCGTGACCTGGCTAGGATTCCTGCAGCCAGCCCAAGAGGGCTCAGTGGCCCCTCGGGGACCCAGGTGGGGCTTTCAACCGCGTCCGCCGGCCACTCAGCCTACTGCACTGAAAGAGACTTTATTCTGAAGTTATTAAAAAGAACAGAGATGCTCCACATAGTTGCATGCAGCGGGGGAGGGGGCTCAGCCAGGGGGCCTGTGCTTCCTTCTCACACAGGACACTGTGGGTGGGGCTCTAGGTGTGTCTGCCCATGTGTCTGTGGGTCTGTGTGTGTGTGTCTGAGAGAGGCAAAATACATAGAGGGCTCCGTGGTCTGTGTTCCTCCAAGTGCTGAAAGGCGGGCGGACATTCATGGGACCCACAGCTGGGGGGCTGGAAGCCGGAGGTTTTCCTTTTGCACTGTGGCCTCCAGGCCAACAAGAGCAGGTGCAGGAAGGGTGGAGGCCCTCCTGCAGGGAAGGATGGCTCAAGGAAAGCTTTTCCCCCACAAGCCCCCACACGTCTGGAATCCTTGTCTCCCCTCCAAATAAAAAGACAGCCTTCTCACCTGGGCATGATTCCCCCTTCCAGCCAGGCTGAGATCTACAAGGTGAGGGGAGCTTGCTCGGTGGTTCGGGGAGGGAAGTCTGGCCTCGTGGCTGTGTGTGAGGGGTGGGGGAGGAATGGTTGAAGTTCTGTCTAGGTAAGGTAGGGCTGACTCGGAGGCGCAGACCAAGCCAGAGCCTGTGTCTGTCTATCATTGCCCAAGGGAGATACTGTCTCTTGGATTGGGGGGTGCAAACCACTTGCTTGCTTGGGCCTTGGGGGGACTGCAGTGTTCCCTTCTCCATGGGCCCCCAGAGTGCAGACCCTGAGGGGGTGCAATCTGACCCCCAGCCTGGATAGACACAAGGGAGAGGAAGCTGAGAGCCGGGAGAGGGCCCGTGAGGGCAGGGAGGCGGGGGAACCTGGCTCCTCGCCCTCAGAACTGGGAGGCGCTGCTGGGGTCGCACTGCAGCAGACGCACGATGGACGGGTCGCTTTTGGCCCCGCGGATGAACTCCTCCAGGGACAGCTTGCCTGCGGGGCGAGGGAAGAAGTGATGGAGGAGAAGGCAGCCGCGAGGCAAGGGGAGGCCGAGGAGAGCCGCGGGAGAGGCAGGGGGAGTGGCGCCCGCCCCGCCCCTGCCCCTGCCCCTGCCCCTGCCCCTGCCCCTGCCCCCTCACCGTCGTTGTTTGTGTCCATTTGGCGGAAGATTTTCTCAGTCCTCTTTTCCGGGGTCGACTCGTCCTCCGGCATCTTCATCACGGACGAAACCATCTTGTAAATGGCCTAGGGGGCGGGAGGGGAAGGCAGGGAGTGAAGAGCGTGCCTGAGCCCCCCACCCCCAACATCCAAAAACACCCCCAGGTGCGCTGATGATCGCCGCTCCCGCCAGAGTGAGGTGGCGAGGGGCTCACGGAGCCGTGGAGAACTAGGGAGTTCAGGAAGGAGTGTGTGGGAAGGCTTCCCAGAAGAGGGGGCTGACCAAGTTCCCTCGGAGCGCTAGTTGGGAAAGGAATCGCTGGCAGAGGGATCTACATGAACAAAGGCACCGCGACGCGAAGCTCTAAGTGGGCGCTGAGAAATTTGGGGTGGCTGAGTGCAGGGGGTCAAGAAAGATGATGGAGGACATCGGTGTCCAGGTGGTGAAGGGAGGTCCTAGAAGGCTGGTTTTAGGAGCTCGTGGCCAGCTAAGTACTGAGTGAGAGCTGCTTGTCAACAACACTGGGGCTCGGCGGCCCGCGCTCGGTGGCCCACAGGGGACGCTGGGCCGAGCAGGTGGCACTGGGCTGCGGTGCCGCTGTGGCCGGCAGGGGGCGCAGGGCCACACTGAGGGCTGAGGGCCCGAGGCAGCTGGGCCCAGAGGGGGCGTGGATATTATGCAAATAAACGCAAATAAGCATCTGCTGGGGGCGGGCCCAGGGCTGCAGCCGCCACGTGCAGGAGCTCCGGAGGCGACGGGAAGGTGTTTTGCGCAAAATGTACACAGAACGCGTAGGGCTTGGCCTGTGGGAAAGGCTGAGTCCCGGTGTCCCGGAGCTCAAGCAGCTGACCGGTCGCCTTAATCTTCCAGCTCTTTGCTACTGACACCTCCTCCAAGAAGCCTCCCTTCTCCCATCCCATAAACTTCCCTTGCCTCAGATCCAGCTTCAGCCTCTGCCCTGCTCTCTTCCCGCCGCATTTCCTTGGGTCTGTCCTCCATGCGGCCTCTGAAAGCTCTTTTCAAACACGGATCTCCCCCATCACGTCCTCCGCCCAGTGATACGCCCCCTCATTCCCATCACACAGGCCTTCCTCCAGGCCCGCCGTGCACCCGGCTCCTTCTGGATGCTGCCCCACGCTCCTTCTGCTGCCTCCCACTCCTCCTTAGGGCTCAGCTTACACGGCGCTTTCTTGAGGAGGCCTTCTCTGATCCAGGGTGGCTCAGAGCCCATTAACTGGCCCAGAGCCTCCTGGGCTTTTCCTCTGGGGACACCTCTCCGGAAGTATTTATGCTTTTGTAGGATTGCTCCTAGTCCCCAGCATACAGACAAGGACCATCGACATCTAGCTAGTGCCCATATTCCCAGAATGCACAGGGCCTGGCATCTGGCAGGGACTCCCCTATTTAAAAGCTGTTGGCACCTCTTGCTGCCCTCTGTACCAAGTCCAAACCATTCAGCCCTTGGCAGTCAAGGCACTTCACGCTCTGGTCCCTGCTGACCTCTCCACCATCAGGCATCCCCTGGTGATTCTGCCACAACCAAGCCTCCCTGCTCCTTTTAGGTTTCCCAGCATTTACAGCCTCTCCCTGGAACAATAATACTAGCCACCATTTATCAGGCACCTACTATGTGCCAGGGACTTTACATGCATTATTTCTAAACTTCACAACAGTCCTGAAAAACGGGTGATAAGAAATCAAGGCTCAGACAGGGAATTGATAGCAGGCACTGGATTAGAACCTGCTCCCTCTTAGCGGTTGGACAGATGCTTGTGGGATGGTGATGACCAGCAGGGGCTTTGAAGTAAGGTGGACCTCGAGTGGTATCCTGGTTCCACTAGTCATTTGCTGTGTAGCCTTGGAGAGTACTTAACCTCTGTGAGCCTCAGTTTCCTCATCTGTAAAATGGGTGTAATTACATCTCCCTTATTAGGATTGTCTACAGGATTTTTTTTTTTCACTTTTTTTTTTTGTGAGGAACATCAGCCCTGAGCTAACATCCGTGCTAATCCTCCTCTTTTTTTTTGCTGAGGAAGACGGGCTCTGAGCTAACATCTATTGCCAATCCTCCTCCTTTTTTTTCTCTCCCCAAAGCCCCAGTAGATAGTTGTATGTCATAGTTGCACATCCTTCTAGTTGCTGTATGTGGGACGCCGCCTCAGCATGGCCAGAGAAGCAGTGCATTGGTGCTCACCCGGGATCTGAACCCGGGCCACCAGTAGCGGAGCATGCGCACTTAACCGCTAAGCCACGGGGCCGGCCCTGTCTAGAGGATTAAATGAGGTAATATGTGTAGAACAGTTGGAACAGTGGCTGGCTAGAGTAAGTGTGAGTAAATAGCTCATATTATAATCTTTACTCATCCACCACATCCTCAGGTCTTCCTTGCCCTTCAGTCCCCTGGACTCCCAGATGTCACATTTATACCCCTGTCCCCGAGCTGGTCAGTGTGGCCTGCACACTTGTCTCTCCCACCAGAGTGGGAGCCTGGAGATGCAGCGCGGACCACAGGGCTGGGAACCAAGAAGAACTGAGTGAGTGACTTAGAGAGTTCTGCTCCCCTTGTGACAACACTTCTCCTGGGCCTCCTAATTAATTGTCTGGAATTGCTGTTCACTCATTGTTTCACTGGAGCCGATTTGTAATTAATCAGTCACCAATGGTTTGCAGAGCTCTGTCTGCACCGGCCGTCAGGGGCCGCCCGGCTGCTGTAAAGGAAACCAGGAGAGAGAGAGAGCAGAGGCCAGCCAGGAAAGGATGCCCAAGGAATGGGACTGGCTTGACCGATGCCCTGGCTTGACGCCTCCATCAGGGCTAAGATTTACGAGTATACACCAGTGCAACCACACTAAGTGGTAAAACTTGAACATCCCTTTGGATTGGTTGGTATCCAGCTGCTGCCCAATCCCTGAATGTTCCCCCACCCCGCTGACTACCCCGACTCTTCTGCCAGGACCCCCAGAACTCCTGCTATACATCAACTAAAGTTAACACCAGGCCCACTGGGGTCACTGACAAACATTAAGACTTCCCCCTAGTAATGGGCGTAGAGAGGGCACCACATCCTGAGGCTGCACATTCTACTCTGGCTGGAGAGAGCAGACCCAGACCCTTAGCGAGAGAGAAGCCAACATCAGGAGTCCAGTAGGGACTGGATGAGTTGGAAGGGGGAGCAGTCAGCAGAGCTGAGGGACCAGAAGGGAAAGGATTCAGAGAGGCAGAAGGAAAGGGAGCAGGAGCTTGTGCAAAGCTGTGCGGCAGGATTACTCAGGGCACACTCCAAGGATGTTGAAAAGGCCATTCTGGCTAGAGCAGAGAACGTGCAGAGGAGAAAACAATAACCGACACTGGCTAACGTTTACCGAGTACCGATTACATGCCAGGCCCTCTGCTCCAGTTCCTATCTGACTTGATGCCTACACTAGCCTTCTGAAGTAGGGGGTTAACACCCTCACCTTACAGGTGAAGGAACCGGCTCAGGGAAAAAGTGAACACAGACCTGGATAGGTAAAATCGAACCAGAGGCCTGAGGGTCTTCAATGCTGGGCTGAGGGGATGGGTTTTTGAGATAAAGGTTTTTGAGATAAAGCTAACATGTGTCACACTTAAATTGGTAGTAAGAAAGGGCATTCATATTAGGTCCTTAAATCTCCCCGTGAGGTCGGCATCACCAACCCCACTTTACAGATGAGCAATCTAAGTGTTGAGGTCACCTCCAGAACTGGAAGCCAGACCCCTTTCAAGAGGAAGCTCTTAGCGATGGCCAACTTGAGCTTGACTCTACTCACATGCTGTGTGACCTTGGGCAAGTCACTTCACCTCTCTGAGCCTCATGGGGTTATTGTAAGGATGCACTGAGTTCACGGGTATAAGCACCTCACTTAGCACTAGGTTCTTGGTGGGCCCTTAATCAATTAGTTGGAAGGTGGCTGAGCATCCAGATGGAATGCGGATGATGGAGCCAGGTGGCTCACTCACAAGCTGTGTGGCCTCCAGCAAATGTCTTTACTTCTCTGAGCATCCCTTTTCTCCTGAGTAAATGAGGATCAATAAAACATAACTGCCCTGTATTCTGCAGAAATGTCAAGTCTTAAAAGACAAAGAAAGGCTGAGGAGCTCTTACAGATTAAAGGGAACTAAAGAGACATGACGACTAAATGCAACGTGTGATCCTAGACCAGGGCAAACGATGTATAAGGAACATTATTGAGACAGTTGGGGGCCGGCCCCGTGGCTTAGCGGTTAAGTGTGTGCGCTCTGATGCTGGCGGCCCAGGTTTGGATCCCGGGCGCGCACCGATGCACCGCTTCTCCGGCCATGCTGAGGCCGCGTCCCACATACAGCAACTGTAAGGATGTGCAACCATGACATACAACTATCTACTGGGGCTTTGGGGAAACAAAAAAAAGGAGGAGGATTGGCAATAGCTGTTAGCTCAGAGCCGGTCTTCCTCAGCAAAAAGAGGAGGATTAGTATGGATGCTAGCTCAGGGCTGATCTTCCTCACCAAAAAAATAAATAAATAAATCAAACTGTTAAAAAAAAAAAAAAAAAGACAGTTGGCAAAATTGGAATATGGTCTGTAACTTGGGTAACAGCATTGTCTCTGTTAAATGTCCTAACCTTGATAATCATATTATAGGTTATGTAAGAGAAGGTCCCTGTTCTAGGAAACATTTCTTGATGTATTTGGGGTAAAGGGTCATGTTCAGAACAACAACAAAACATCACACACACGTGCACACACACGATGATAAAGCAAATATAGTAAAATGTTAATTGCTGAATCTGAGTAAAGGGTATATGGGAGTTTTCTCAACTTGTCTTAAATTGGAAATTATTTCCTAATAAAGAGTTTTTTAAATGGGTCGTAAGAATAGCACCTGCCACTACCTACCCACAAGGGCTGTGGAGAGGATAAAAAGGCAGGGTGGGTGCAAGCTGCTGGGCCCTGCGCCTGGCATCCTCAGGGGCCCAGGGGCCCACCTGTACAATCTCGAGCATCTCCTCGCGGCTGATGTAGCCGTTGCCGTCCAGGTCGTACATGCTGAAGGCCCACATGAGCTTCTGCTCCAGGCGGCCCCGCGAGGTCACGCTCAGCGCGATGATGAACTCCCGGAAGTCGATGGTGCCATCGCTGTTGGTGTCGAAGGTGCGGAAGACGTGCTCGGCGAACTTGGAGGCGTCTCCGTAGGGGAAGAAGTTGGCGTAGATCTTCTTGAACTCGTCCACGTTGAGGATGCCTGTGGGGCAGTCCTTGAGGAAGCCCTTGTACCACTCCTGCAGCTCCAGCTCCGAGAACTCCGTGTTCTCCCGCAGGTCCTGCAGCATCTCGGGCCGCAGCTTGCTGTTCTGTTTGCCCATGGCCGCCGAGCCAAGTCCCACCTGGGTCCCCCAGGGGGTCAAGGGGCAGAGAGGAGTGGTCAGGCCCTCCTGGCCCATTGACACCACTCCAGGAGGGCCCCCAGACACCAGACACCCCGGCCTCTTTTTTGACCCAGTGAGAGGGAAGAGCTGGCCCAAGGTCACACAGCCTGTACCCAGGCATCCTGCCTCTGTGACATGCTCCACACCATTTCCCCAGACCTGACAGTTCCCCAGGGAACAGACCTGGAGACGGAGGAAGGGAAGGGGGCTCACATTTACTGAGGCCCTTCTCAGTGCCAGCCACTGAGCCTTCACAGGTGTGTACCTTTCACCCTCACAAAGTGAAGCCTGGGGGTCAGCCCCATTTTACAGATAAGAAAGCAGGCTCAAGGAAGTGAGGTGACCTGGTTCAGGTCACACAGCCATGGAGTGAGAGGGCTGACTCCCAGAGTGGACCAGGAAGGTGCAGAAAGGCCTTCTGGTCCTCCTCCCTCCTACCCACTGCCCCCTTGTTGCCTCTCATACACCTGCTCACCACGAAATACACCTGCAGCCCAGACACTGACCTGGTCTCTCCCACACACACGTGTGCCTGACAAGGGCAGCCTAAGGCAGGTGTTAGCCTGGGCTCCAGAGCCAGACCACCTGGGTTTGAATCCCAGCTCTGCCTCTTACCAGCTATGTGACCTTGGGCAAATTCCTTAAATTCTCTCTGCCTCATCTGTTAAGCGGGGGTAACAGTACCTACCTCATTATTGTTGTGATTAAATTAGTTAATACATGGGAAGCACTTAGAACGACGCCTGCACATGTAAGTGCTACATAAATGTTAAATAAATAAAAATAATTTACGTGTACCCAGATGCCACAAGATGCACAACAATACACAAATGAATACATACTGACACATATGCTACACAGCTCACCAAATCCACACACTGGGTCTCATGCCACTCACATACCAGCCCATACCCACCCATGGGTCACCATGCCTCCACACATGACAACATTCCCTCTGCCCCACAGCTCACATGTACTGACACACGGGACCAAGCACGCACAACTCCCATACCCTGTGCATTGAGACACACCAGCCCACAACCCCACATCTCAGACATGCCATCACAAGCCAACTCCCATGCTGACACCTCTCACATGGCCAGCTTCACGTGGGACCCTCAGGCACCCTTGTCATCTTTCTTTCTTTTCCCAGGGGTGCTGCCAGGTCCCAGGAGAGGAAACTGCAGCCTTTCTCAGACCTACTAGGGGACCCTTTTCCAGGGATACCCCTAGCCAGCCAACCCTCCCCCAACACTTACCTTTCATCTGGTTCAGAAAGGCCCCCTCAGTGCAGGCGGCTAGTGTGTGGAAGGCTGAAGGGAAGGCACTGGAGTGGAGACAGCCAGGCAGTTCTGGGCAGGGATGTAGGGGTGTGTGCTGGTGACTCTGCCCCCATGTGGGGCTGTGAGACAGGGCGAGGGGGGTTGCCTGTGAGTGCATGTGCTGAAGCTCTGTGCACATGTGGGTGAATGTGCAAGAGCATGTGCCCGTGTATGCATGTGTCCCCGCTTTCTGCATTGCATGTCTCTCCGTGTGTTTCAGTCCATATCTGTGCATGTGCACATATGTGCTTGTGACTAGGTATGCACTCATCATAGTGTGAAGGAATGTGACTGTGTGGCCATTTGGGGGACCTGTGTGCGTCCTCAGCAGTGTGTCACATGCATGTTTTTGTAAGTTGGTGATCCTCCTTTCTAAATCAGCCTCTTCTGCCCCAGGCTGAGGACCCACTGAACAAGTGTGTGTGAGAGGACTGAGGAAATGCGTGGGGCTGGGGCGGCGGTGTCCCTTAGTCCCCTCCTCAAGGTCTAAGGAATTGGGTCATCAGGGCGGAGGCAGAGAGATGCGTTGGGCAGAAGAGATCTTCCAGTGCCCCCTCTTCCCTGCCACCCTCAGAGTTGCCCCTCCCAACTGGAAGACTTGGAAATGAGGGTGGTAGAAGATTCTGTTGTCCCCGCCAAGACCCCCCGTCCCCAAAATGGGAAGGACCGACAGCTCGAACTGAGAAACCTGCTCCGGGGACCCTCTCCAAACCTGTCCCCAGCTGTCGCCCTGAGCCCCCGCCTCAATCCTTTCAGCCCTCGGAGAGCGCCGGGCGCGTGGCCCCTCCTGGAGGGGGCGCTCCGAGGCGGCCGAAACGCGACTCCTCCAGGCTGGCCACCGGCGGTCAGGACCCTGGAGAGCTCCGCGCGTTTCCTCGGGGGAGCCCCCAGTCCCTGCGCCCGCAGAGGGAGGATTCCCGCGAGGCGCGGGAGAAGCGGGGTTGGGGAGCCCTGGACGTGGCCCCTCCCTCGGGCATGCCGCCTCCCCGCAGCCCCCAGCCCCGGCCGGAGCGGCCCCCACTCACCCAGCGACGCGGAGACACCGACTGCGCAGGGAAGGCGGCGCTGCTGCGGCGCGCGGCGGCAGAGGCGGCCGGAGGGGCGGGCGGGGGGCGGGGGGAGGACTGCGAGGGAAACGCCCCGCAGCGTTCGCCCGGAGCCCCTCCCCTGGGGGGTCCCCGATCCTCCCTTTCCCCTCTAGTCCTGTGGCGGGGAGCGTTGGGCTAGGCTCCGCCCCCGCCCCTGCTGGGAGAGGAAAGGGGACGCCCTCACTTCTCCGGCCTCCCTCACGAGGGAGCACCCCACCGAGGGAGGAGGACTGTGGTCCTCCTCAGCGTCTCAACTCAGGTAGCCTGAACGGGGTGGGGGCGTCAGTGCCCAGAGACCTCTTTCCTAAGCGCCGCTCCACCCGCATTCCTCCTCCATCCCTACCTGGACGCGGAGCCGCACTTCGCTCCGAGGGCGGAATCCGAATCCTGGGCGGCTCGCTAGGCACCCTGCCTGCCCCTGCGCCTCAACTCCGGAGCTAACTGAGCTGGAGGTGCTTCGCAGAGGGGGCAGCGCCCACTCCTCCAGTTGGTGAGGTCTTCCGGGGCCAGACACGCCCCCTACCCCACCTCCGCCTTAGAGAGCCCCGCCCCCATCTCCTGCCCGCCTCTTCGGATCTCATGCCCAGGACCCCCTCACAATGAATCCCACCTCCCACCATTGATCTGAACTGCTCCTCCCACTCCCCCAAACTCCAGTCAAGGAAACCCCCTTCCTCCCTTCCCAGCCTCTGCCAGTGCAAGAGTGTGACACAGAGGGCTGGGGAGCATTTCTAGCCTGGGGGTTCTGAGGTAGAGAGGCCCCCTGCCTGCAGACAGGACAGCCCCTTTCCAGAGTCGTTGACCCATCCCAGCTCCTCCTGCCCTCAGCCTCAGCAACAAGCCCCCCATCCCCACATTGTCCCCACCTCACAGGTGAGAAAACGGAGGTTCAGAGGGGTTAAATGATGTTTCCAATGTCTCACAGCTAGTGAGGGGAAGGCTTGGACTTGAATCCGCGAGCCCTCATCCATTCATTGCACAAGTATTTATCAAGCACTAGTTCTGTGCCCAGCACTGCTCTAGGCAGGGGGGTTACAGGAGCTGACAGTGAACAATGGACATAATACACAAGTCAATTCTATAGTGTGTTAGATAAGTGTGTTGGGAAAAGCTGCGATTGGTGTGCGGAGGTTGGGATATTGGCAGTGCTTAGGACTATGCCTGGTACTTTAGGTTTTGTTCCAGGCGAGATGGGAAGCTCTTGGGGTTTTGAGCAGAGTGAGAGGGTCTGACTTCCAGGTCAAGCTTACCTGGGCATTCTGCCAAGAACAGACTTCGAGGTGGGGGCCAGGGTGGGAGCAGGGGGCCATCTCAGGGTGAGAGATGACCAGGGTGGCAGGGATGGGTCTGGTTTCTGGGCCTACTTTGAAGGTGAACTGACAGCATTTGCCTTCTGACTGGACAGCTCTTTCCAGTTCAGTGGTGCCAGCTGGGACCCTCCTGGCTCCGTGGGGCTCAGGCCAAAGCTCCACCTCCAGGTTCCCAGACCAAGCCTCTCAGGTGGTCAAAGTCTAGCCTGAGTCTCTCCTGCTTGAAGGCAAGTGAGGAGTCTCAACTGGAGGAGCTGGGGAGCCAGGCTGCCGGCAGGGGGTGGGGGGGGTGCAGCTGGGCCCTCCAGAACACCAGTTCTTCTGTGTGCCTTGGCTCTGGTGTTGGGACCCCCGTAGAGGCGTGAGAGACGCCAGACATGTGTGGGTGGTTCCCAGCTGCCTCCTGCGTGAGGACCTGGGGGTGGGGAGAGACTTGCTGCTCAGCCCCCACCCCAGGCCCCTTGAGTGACAAGCTGCCTCCCTTCTCCACACTAGGCCTGGAGGGCCTGCTGTGCTCAGGGCGGGGAGAGGGGTCTGCCCTGCAGTCACTGCCTCAGCCCCTCCTCCCCCTCCTCCTCCTTCCTCTCTCGCCTGCCTGAAGCCTGAATCTTCCCAGCCTGCTCTGGATCCTCCTCTCCATCCTTGCAGGGTCTCAGTTCACTCTCATGGGGGCTGCGCAAACACTCTCACTGCTTCCTCCCACTGCCCTGCCCCAGCTTCACCTCCTCCAGGCTGACTCCTTGACTCAGCCCCTCAGGAGCCTACTTCTCCCCAACCCACTGTTTTTCTTCTCTGTGAAGATGTCTCTGATGCGCTGCCCTCAGGACCCTAGTCTGCATTCTGTCTCTCCAGCAGGTGAGGCTTCTGAAGGCAGAACCACGTCTTCCACGGGGTGATCCCCCTCCCTTTGACTTTCCCCGCACCTCAAATGAGTAGAGTGGATCTGGGAGCAGAGTTTGGGCCCTGGTAGGCTCTGCTGGTTACTTCCCATTAGCCACCTCGACCCTCCCCGGGGCCTAAGAAGCACTGGGAGGCCCCCCTGAGCCAGAGAGAAGGCTTGGAGCTCCCCACACTGCACACCAAGGCCCCTGGACCAAGACCTAGTACCCTGAGATATAGCCCAGGAAAGGGGGGCAGAGGGCCAGCTGTCAGGAGGCCTGGGTCCCTCACTTCTGGATGAGCTGGAGCAAGTCTCTGCCTTTTCTGAGCACAGAGGTTAGACAGGTGACCTTGGTGCCTTGAGATCCCCCATTGAAACCCGTGACCAGAGTACTGACAAGACAAGCCCTCATTCACAGACTCCCTGGCCCCTCAGGCCTGAGATTCTGGACATGAGCATGCATCGACGAGGCCCTGTGACCCTGGAACCCTGCCGATTCGCCTTCTAGGAAGGCCTGTTGCCAGGGTAGGGGTGGGGGGTGTCCTTGCTGATGATACTCAGTCCCCTGCCTCCCCAGACTGAGGGCTTTAGGAGGCAGGGAGAGGCACGGCTTAGGGTAACTGTAGAGGGGAGTTATTGAGAGAACCGAGCAGTGGACAGGTCCGTGGGAGATGGAAGAGAGAGCAAGTCCCAGAGGAGAGGATGTCCCCAGCATCTGAGGAGTGAGGTGAGGGGTACAGAAACCAGAGGTGGCTACCGACCTCCAGCACTAAAGAGGGGCAGCCCAGCTCCTGGATGCCAGAGAGAGAAGCAAGTGGGGGATGAGTGGAAAGGGGACCACATGTCTCTTGAGCACCTACTGTATGCAGAGTGCTTTGCACAGTTCACCTCATTTGATCCGCACTAATCCTGAGGAGTCAATAATGTTACTGCCATTTTACAGATGTGGAGACTGAGGCTTCAGAGAAGTGAAGTCACCTGCCCAGGGTAATATAGCAAGAAAGTGACAGTGCCAGAATTTGAACCCAATTTCGTGTGACTCAGGAGCCCAGGTCCCTCCCTAGGAGCCTCTCAGTGAGGTAAGTGGAGGTAGCCCCTCTCCAGCCCGCTCAGAGACCCAGCCCCCACTCTCCCCCCTTTGGTCCCAAATGGTTTGGAAAATCCTGATGGGAGCAGATGGTGGGGACAGATGGAGGGAAAAGCATCTCGGGGCTGAATTACACAAACAAACATTGATAAAGTGATTAAAACCTCAAGCCACCCCTTTCCAAAGGGCCCTGCCCACCCAGCCTGGAGCACAATGGACACTGAGGTGGGGACCTGGGGGTCTCTGGATGCCCCGCATCTTAGCGCAGTTGATCCCAGCTTCTGCCAGCCCCCCTTACTTCCTGGGGACCACCCCCGGACCAGAGCCCAGGGCGGCAGAGCTGCCAGGAGCACAGCCCGGGAGGGGGAGCAGGGTAGGCCTGGCTGTTCCCACAGAAGCTGGGCCACGAGGAACAGAATGGGGGCGGAGGTGGGGATGTTGGGAAAGTCCTGGGAGCTAGGACTACAGACCTGAAGTCAGGGTGAGCGGGGGGTTGTGGTGGGGCTGGGGTCCCTTGAACAAAGCTCGGTTTACAGATGGGGCTCAGAGAGCTGCCGTGCCTGCCCCAGTCACACAGCCTTGTGGCTCCCACAGAGGAAGGATGGACCCTGACCCACCTCCCACCCCCACAGTGTAGGGGGAAGACCCTGGAAGCTTTAGATGGTTCCTTCATCTGTAAACTGGAAAGAATAATAATAGACCCCCTTTGAAGGGTCATTGTGAGGATGAAGTGAGAGCAAGCCTGTCAAGTACAGGTGCTGGGCCTGCACATAGGCAGTGCCCAATTAATGTGGGCTTCAGGCGGCTAATAGGGAATCCCTAGTGTTGGGGGATCCGGAAGGTTGGGGCTGGTTGGAGATGGTCCCTCTACAGAGCCGAAGTTTGGGCTTGAAGATCCTGCTCACAGAGCCCCCAAGGCTGCCAGGATCTGCAGCAGAGGGATGGCTGCAATGGCCCCAAGAAGAGCATCAACTCTCCCCTGGGTAAAGGCGTCTGATCACTCTGCCAAGCCCAGAATTCAGGACCCCCAGGGAGAGAGACAGAGGCCGCACCTTTGCCTGTCCCTCACTACAAGCTTACAGACTTCCTAGGGTGATGGACCCGGGTCAAGACCCTGGGGCGACCCTTTCCCAGCTTTGGGAAAGTTGGCAAAAACAACCCCTCTGACCCTCTGGCTCCTCCTCAGTGAAGCCCGCATTTCCAGCTACTTCCTGGACTTGCTCCCAGAAGCCCAAAGTCACCCCGGACTCAGGCCAGCCGATATCTAACTCATCACCTTGCACCCAGCCTGCCCTGCACCTGGGTCCCCCTCCACCCACCAGACAGCCCAAGGCCCCACCCCACCCCATCCAGGACCTCTCCCTCCTCTGCATCCTACGCCTTCCTTCTCTCGGGCCTGCCCTCTCCTCCCCCACCACCTGCCCCGCCCCACTCCCTCCTCTGGCCCTCTTACAGCTCTCCCCGCCTTCAGTTTTTCTAAATCCAATCCCCTTCCTCCCTGCTTAATAACCTTCCATAGCTCCCAACTGCCTGCCGCGGGAAGCGGACATTCGAGGCTCCGCATGACATGCCCCAACCCTGCTCTCCCACTGTAGCTCTTACCATCCACCTTCTTTAATAACTCCCACCAGTCCAGCACCTCCTCTCCCAGAGGGCCCGGCTCTCCCCTGCGCCGAGAGAGGAGATCTGGAGCCAG